TCCTGCGCATACGTGGAAGCGCAGAACTCATCAAAACCGGGTAAGGAGCGCAGGCGGGCGGCTGGGCCCTTTGCCGTTCTCGGAAGTTACTTACTTCCGGGTTCGCCGACCAACCGGTTCGCGGGGACCGCCGTGAACTGGTTGAAACCCACCCCTGGCCCAAACTCACCTGACAGAATGGTTATGTGGGGAAAATAGGAGGAAAGAGCACTAGGTTTGTCTGCTGCCTTGAGTTATTGGACAAAATAATAAAAGCTGGATTAAAAATATTTCTAATTTTTTCCCCTTCCCTATCCACAATACACACTTCCTCTAGATTGTATCTTATCTGAAGCAACACACTGTGTCTTAAGCAACACAGTCACACACTCACCAAAAGTATCCATATTGATTACTCTATCCACCTTGTTTTTCTATCAAAGGACTAGATATTATTTTGTCCAAGAGCAGGAAAGGGATGCTTTTCTTATGATATAGCAGAGCCAACCATTAAGGGAGCACTAAACAACTTTTTTTTTCTGTTTCAGCTTTCCACACCTTTAAATAATTTGCATTGGATGAGCAAGATAGGGGTTTTTTTTTTACTGAATTTTTTCTTCAGCAAATAGCTGGCTGGAAATTCAAGCTTTCAGTCATCTGTCTTCCATTAAGTACTTTAATATTGTGGGAAATTAACTTTTAAATCAATACTAATACTAGGAATGAAAGAAGAAGGATCTCTCTGTAGCAAAGCAGAAGATGTCAGTATCTAATTTGTCATCATCTTCTTCAGCCCCTTCCATTTGGTTTCGATTTAGCCCTCGACCGCAGAAACCAAAAGCAGCATCCTTGCACAGGAGCTGTTTCAAATTATGCACAGCAAGTTTTAAGCACATTAGCAGCAAGAACAAGCTGTCCTCATGCTAACCGGTCCTGCTTTGTTCTTGATGGTGGAAAATCTCACTTTAACTGCCATCTAATTTGCTGCAGAGTGCTACCACACCAGCAGCTGCCATGGCAAGTGATGAAGTATATTCACAAAACTATCTTTCAACACATTGCGACTGTTCCAAATACAACAACAATCAATGGGGAGATTTGGGCTACAGATATTTTACTGGAGCCCTGAAGTTTATTGTAGCCAATATACTCCTGTAAAACAAAAGGTTGCTTTTAAAGAGTCCCAAAGGTGCTTTTTCAAGAAGCAACTGGACTTTCTTTTTTTTTCTTTGAAGACGTTTTGCTTCTCATCCAAGAAGCTTCTTCAGCTCTGATGGGAGGCTGGGGAATGGAAGGATTTATATTCCTTGCAGACAGCTAGTCATTTGCATTCTTTTAGAGAGTCATTGAAGCCATCTGTGTCCTCAGGGCCACCTGAGTAGTGGAAATGTGGAGCCTTCTTGGAACTGCTGAAAGGACTGTGATGTAGGTTGGAGATAGATGATGTTGTATCCCGCCCTCTCGGTTGAGAGAGGGATGTTCAATTTTGACACAGAGGGCCTCTTTCAAACCACTGGTCCCCGCTGTCCAAAATGTGGACTTTGCTGTCTTCAAAAGAGTGGAGTTTGGCTTTTAAATGCAGATGGACTGCTGACTCTTGTCCTGATGGGTTTGTTCTCCTATGTTGTGCCATGTGTTTATGAAGTGGTTGTTTTCATGACTGGAATCTCCATACACACATTTATACAGTGTAAATAGACAACTACTGTATATAAGGTGCCATGGCTGGAATCTGAAAAGGATGCCCTCACATCTGTAATAAGGACCAATCAGAAGGACAAAGGAATAAGAAAACCACTTGCCTGAAGGTAGAAGGCAGCTGATCTCTCTCTTTTTAGACAGGAGTGCTTCAAAAAAAGGCCTGCTTATCAATCTTCTACAACTGAGTGCCATTCAAAGATATTGGAAAAATTGCTAGCTGTGAGTTCTTGGAAGTATAGTTTCTTCACCATTAAGACAACAACAGTTCAGGGACTCTTCATCTGTACAGCAACCTAAACTCACACTTAGTTATCAGAGGACTCTGAAACTCACATGGAACTGCAAAAGGGAAACTTCAAAACAATAGAAATCTACTTTGTCCTCAAGGTAGGCAGGAATTAGGTCTTCAGATCCACAAGTTGCCACTTGGAAATCTAAAAAAAGAGATATGCCATCAAACAGAATTGCCAAGAGAACACCAATATATTGATTTCTTCAAACTGTGTGTGTCTGTCTTCCATACAAATTATGATGTATCCACCACCATATATGACTGTATGTACAAATGTATGTGAGAGAATATAAACCATTTCCCAAAACTAGGAAGAAGCAAAGCAAGATCAGTTTAATTCCTTAGTTGGAAGCTGAGGGAACATAGTAAAAGGCAGCAGAAAGCATTTTTAATATCTGTATTTTTGAATCTAACACAAGGGATTTTAGCTATGGGATCCAACAATTTAGAGGTTTTTTTTAAAAAAAAAAAATGCCCCACAGTTTGATAATGTAAATCAATCTCCTTTACAGCATGCGTTTCTTAGTTCAGGTTGCACTTCAGACCCCCATTTTATCAACAGGTTAAGGCAAATTATCTAAAGTTTCCCTTTATATCCTGCTGCTAACCTAGTAGCAAATATTAACCCTAAATCATGTATTTTCTTTGTTGGACTGGAAATTACACATATAATTTAGGGATGAATTTTCTTTACTCTCAAGTGTGCTGTTTTTCCTCAAACATTTGCTGGAGCTGTCCATATATCTTTTTTTTTTTTAAAAAAAAAGTAGATTAATTATCATATTAATGGGACTACAAAACTGCTTAGGTAAGCCATTTAAGCCTCACATGTTTGTTGTTGGCAGAGCATATAATCAAGACAGAATCTACATCTGGCTCTCAACCAAAAGGAAGAGTACAATCCACCTCTCCATTTTATGACTATAAAACGCCCAAGGCTCTTTATCTAATCGAATGTGATACATAAGTTTACAATCCATTCTTTAGACTGTGCATACAGATGGAGTCTGGAGTATGGCCAACACTGTAATATCTTGTCTGGTGCTTTTACTTATGGAGTCTTGTCTTATGCTCTTGAGAAATGGATGCATCCTTCTTCCGCAATGTATTGGAGACAGACTTATCCCATTCGTCTTTCTTTAGTTTGGTGAATTAAGTAATTATATCTGTTATTATCATAAAAATGTAAATTCTATTCCAACACCAATGTTTGGTATATCACCTTGCTGTTGTTTTCATGCTGATTGCTCAACCTACTGATCATGTAATATTAAAGTAATACTAAACTCTATGGCCTCACAAAAAGCAAAACAGTCAGGAGTGGAAGAAACTTCATTAGAGGTTACAATGCCACTTTAAGTCCAGCTCTACAGGAAACTCCATAGCTCATTGATGGCGAACCTTATTTGTATCCACATGCCAGCCTGCGTGCTGGAAATGGTACACAAAACCATCCCGTGAGGAACGCATGGCCTTGCTGGCCTTTGCGCATGCAAGACCTTCGAAACCCGGAAGAGCAGCCTTCCATCGTGAATGCACACTCTGACACCACAATTACTGGTTTCTGACAGGGGCCTGACAAACAGCTGGCAGTTGTGCATGCGCGTAGCGGAAACCCAAAAGTCCGGGTATCGGTGCTGAAACATTGCTCTTCCAGATTTTGGCACTCCCATGTGCACAAAGGCCAGCTGGCCAGTGTGTATGTATGCACAGGAATGTGGAAAAAGAGCCAGCAAGGCCGCACATCCCTTGTAGGATGGCTCTGAGTGCCATTTCCAGCATGCATTCCATAGGTTAGCCACCACGGCCATAGCTTTTCCTCACCTCATTTAGCATTTATCTCACTGGAGTCAGAAGAATTATAAATACGTCTGCCGACGTAGTGGATAAGTCAAGTCTATTGGACTGGGGAATGGGGTTTACTTATTTGCACCTTCCTTTCACAGCAACTCTTGCTATCCTTGCTGTTGAGGATTTGGAATGAGATGCAGATGAAGGGAATTAAATCAATGAGGAAAAAACCAGGAAACTCATGCTAAGCACCTCCATGTCTGAGTTGAAGTTGATCCAAACTAGTCAAAACAAATTGCATTGTTGGGGTGTGACATGTACAGCCAGATCCCAAAACCCAACTGCAGGGTGGTTCTTGTGGGGAAAATAGGAGGAAGGTGTTGGATATATTTGCCACCTTGAGTTATCTGTGAAAATAATAAAGGCAGGATATAAATAAATGAATAGATAAATACATATATTTCATAAAGAGAATCTCTAAGTTATTGAGACTAGAAACTAGATTACTATTAGGAATTGTATATGATATATCATAATGATCTCGCATTCCAAGAGGAAAGAAAAAATAATACATTTTTCAAAAAACAATTTTGGCATATGTTGTTTGGATCCTGTCCATGATAAACGATGCCATCAATTATCTGCCTCAAATTACTTAGAGTACAAGACTGATTGATTTATTCATACATGTGATTCATAATTTAATCAACTCTCCTCTAATTATAATACATTTTGAAGTATATCTCGAGGATGTAGTATCATCAACTACTATATGAATTTCTGTTTTCCATATTTTGATGTCAAAATTTCAGATTGTTTACCAATTAAAAATTTGAATTCTGATTAATTCTCTTATTTAATTGCCCTTGCCAAATGTAGATACCTGATTTACAATTCATTTAGTTACTTATTTAGTTATAAGGAATATCATTAGCTGTATCATGAATTTCCATTTAATTTGTATACATTTGAAGTTGTTGTCAAATTAGATTATGATTTTGTTTCCTGACACTGCTTAGGAAAGTGGAATCTTCATCTTTTGAGGGCAGAGGACATTATTCTGGTCTTATCTATGCTTGTGAATTTGTTGGTTCCTCTTCTCCATGATCAGAAATAGTTCTACCTTTTCCCAAAGGGGCTTTTTCAGGAGGCAACTGGACTTCCTTGTTTTTTTTCTTTGAAGACATTTTGCTTCTCATTCAAGAACCTTCTTCCCTTCTAACCAAATAGTGGGGAATGGAAGGATTATATTCGTTGCAGACAGCTGGTAATTTGTAATCTTTTAGAGGGTCATTAAAGCATTTGGAGGTTTATCTGTGTCCTCAGGGTCACCTGAGTAGTGGTCCTGGTTCCTGCAGTCAGTAATTTTTTCTCTGGAAATCCATTCCTACTCCCAACACCATTCAAAGGGAGTTCACCCCAAATTGTATAGCTAAAAAGCGTATAGAGATTCTCAGTCATCAAGGTCATGGTTGTCCCAAAGGTGAAACAAGAAAGTCCAGTTGCCTCCTTAAAAAGCACCTTTGAGACAACCATGACCTGGATAACTGAGAATCTCTATAGACTTTTTAGCTCTACCTTTTCTTTCTTCTAAAAAAAAAACAACACATGAAAATCCCATAGATTCAGATTGTGAAAAGCCTGGCCAACTAACACTCTTGAAGGTCCAATAAAATAGGTCAAGTCTAACACCTGGCCTCTTTTATTTTTATTTGGTGGTTCTTTAAGGTACAAATGGGGCATGGGAACAATGAAATACTTTGAAAACTGAGATCCTGGCCTTACACATTTTTGTATGGTGGCTTCAACCAGCCAGTAGAAGCTCTTGAACTATTGGAAGTGGTTTGTTCCCAATATAAACTGAGACTGCTAACCCTTAAATTTGTTTGTAACAGAGCCCCCAAATCCCTGGTCCATAGCCCGGTGGGATCTGGGCCACACAAGTGGGAGGCAAACACACAAAGCTCCATTTGATGCATGAAACCATCCCTACCCTTCTCTCCCTGCCACCACTGCTGGTCCACGGACCTAGAAAAGTTGGGGACCATTTAACACAGATTAAAGTAGGCAGAGGTCAGAGCCAGAGGTGGCATTCTGCTGGTTCTGACCGGATCACCTGAACTGGTAGTGAAAATTGCAGGTGACTCTGCCCACCCATGCCCGGCTCTATGGCATCCCATTTAGGCCCTTTTTTCACCGAAAACACATGCGTGGAAGCGAAGCATGCATACTCACATTTGTGAACTAGGAGGGAACCATGCCTGGTCAGAGCCCTCCATCTTTCCTTAGAATTATCACTGTGATTTTCACTGGGCAAGATCAAGAGCGTTTCTCTGTTCTTTTGTGTGGCATAAAACCCTACTAGATGCCTGTTGGTAGAGAGCTGGAAATATGAAATGCTCTATCCTATCCTGCTAGCAATTTTCTTTCATTGCTCTATTTCCTTATAAATGGAGCTGGCGAAAGGGGAATATAGTGGTTTTTTCTATCTTTCACCTTATGAATTAAACACAATCACAACAAACCAAACCAAACTAAACCACAAGTGACATGTATAAAAACCATTATAGTTGTTCTTAATGAGACGGAATGATAAATCTGAGGACCAAAAACCAATGGTGGTACTGGGAATATTTGTTTGTGAAAGCAGGTGCAATCCAGTAATCAGGTTAGCTGCAAAACAAAGTTCTGTCAATTGTGCAGCTGCTAGAACCGGTCTTCTATTCTAGTCAGATAAATAAAATATCTCTGTTTTAGTTCAGGAAAATAGCTGTAGGGATTCAGAACCCAAATAAGACATTAGAAAAGGCAGACTCATGCAGATTGTGATTGTTGTTAAACATTGATTGCACAGTTTTTTAACTCCTTCATTTGATTTTGAATGGAATGGAATGCGTATTTGTCTCTTTGTGACATGCCTCCATGTATACAACAGACATACATAGATTCAGCAACTCAAACAAAAATAAAATAGTCTGACCATTAGGCCGAATAATAATGGCTATACAAATCATACATTGTTTAACTTTCTCTTTGCATTCTAAAATATTCTGAGACACAAAGAGGCAATTGAATAATAGAAATACAAAGTGGGAAGGGACCATGCAGGTCTGCTAGTCCGATCCCCTGTTCAAACAGGAAACCCTATAGCATTTCACACAAATGGTTGTCCAATCTCTTCTTCAATGATGGAGCACACCTGAAGGCAAGCTGTTCCACTAATTAACTGTTATTAGTATGTTTTCACCTCCAGTCCCCTAATTGTCTTTGTTGTTTTCCTCTTCACTCTTTCTAGAGTCTCAACATTTTTAAAAAAAAAAAAACACTGACTCTACAGTAGTGCTCAGAACATCAGGAACTGGTCTACTTGGAATAGAAAAAGAGTATATCAGCTTGTCTTTTGTTGTAGATAGCAAAATGCCTTGAGCTAGTCCTATATAATATCCAAGGAAAATAAAGAAAAGAAAGGAGCATCAGGAAAACTATTACATTTGCTGGTTTCTCTAAAGCAAGAATGTTGAGCTTCCAGGGTAGGGTTGATTTCTCAGGCATTTCCATAACCTGCCAGAAAAACAGGGTCATCTGCCTCAAGCCTCACTCTACAGCAGTGGTGGAATTCAAAAATTATTGCTACCAGTTCTGTGGGCGTAACTTGGTGGTAGCAGGGGAAGGATGCTGCAAAATCCCCATTCCCTCCCCTCTCCACTAACCTGCTTTCCAGCTCCGTTCTCCTATGCAGGGCAACAAAAGAAGACCCAGCCGATCAGTTGGGACTCAGGAGACAGCGAATAAATTGGGGGTGGAGCCAGCCAGTTCTCCGAATTACTCAAAATTTCTGCTACCAGTTGTCCAGAACCTGTCAGAACTGGCTGAATATGACCTCTGCTCTACAGGGATGTTAGTTATTGGTAAACCACAGTCCATTGGAAGAACAGCTACATATTGACTTAGCGGTAAAACCTGTTGAAATCAGTTGGCCCTATTTCAGAGTCAATCTTGATGAACACCTCTCAGTCTTCAAAGGACCTGTGCAATGTGTTAATTTTGAAGAGGCACAGGTACATCCACGTGCAGGAACATACTCACAATAGCACTTCTCTGCAACTCCTGAAACCATCTGCCTCTTTTCCCAGGATCCTATGGATTTCCTATGCAGCTGGAACAAGAACCTGGAGGGGGGGAATGTTTGATTTAGTGAGTCATTGCCAGGGACTGAATGTGCCCATACACCCTCATCAGCCTCCTTATCTCTTGAATTCAAAACATTGCACAGACTTAATCTTCAATTAACAAAAGAAAAGAAAAGAGGTATGTTTTCACAGTGGCTGTATGACTTATGGAATGAGATATCTAGGGCAAGATTACAGCTGAAAGGAAAATTCAGTGCCTGTAGAATAAATGCAGATATGGATGGTGTTTTAAATCCTCAACCATTTGTAGTTCTGTTGGCATTCATTTTAAGTAGGAGAATAGCTCAAATCTGAGCAAAGAATTACTATGTGGCTTAAATGGGAGGGTGATTTCTAGGAATTTGTCAGCCAGCATTTCTAATTTAGAATAGCATAACTTTGACCTATTAATTTTAAATGAATGAGCTATAAAGAGATAATCACAATGGAACTTATCATGGTCTGATTGCCTTATAATTACTCAGGGAAAAAAAGTCATGATATATATTTTCTATCAATCAGTTCACTGCAACTATATTGTCTGGAATAACTGTTAAAATGATGAAGCAACATACTGGCTATGGCATCTTCCCTTCCATGCTGAAATGTTTGATAATATGGCCATATAATAATTTAATACCTATATTGGAAGGACAAATTGAGTTTTATTATAACGTATCAAACATTTAGGGTATAGTCTTATATTTTCTTCTTTTATAGGAGAAAAATCAGATACTGTTTATGGGTCCTGCTCTCAAAAAAATATTAAAAGTAAAGGTTCCCCGTCGCACATACTGTATGTGCTAGTCGTTCCCGACTGTAGGGGGTGGTGCTCATCTCCATTTCAAAGCCAAAGAGCCAGCACTGTCCGAAGACATCATTTCCATGATCATGTGGCCGGCATGACTCAACGCCAAAGGTGCACGGAACGTTGTTACCTTCCCACCAAAGGTGGCTTCTATTTTTTCTACTTGGGATTTTTTACATGCTTTCGAACTGCCAGGTTGGCAGATGCTGGGACAAGTAATGGGAGCTTACTCTGTTAGGCAGTGCTAGGGGTTCGAACTGCTGAACTGCTAACCCTTCTGATCGACAAACTCAGCGCCTTAGCCACTGAGCCACCGTGTACTTCATAAAAAGATATTATATGTTAGCAAATTCATTTAGCTAAGGACTGATCTGTAATGGTTTATAAGGGATTTAAAAAAACCTCTAGCTTTATAGCCAATAAGTTTAAATAGATAAATAATAGAACTCAACGTGAAACAGATTCATGTTAAATATCCCAAATTTCTGAAAGGTTTGACAGCGTCAGATATTGAAGAAGTACATGTGAAAATTTGACATACAATACCATGGAACAATCCCGCCCCCCACTGTAAACAGTCTTACTCTCCTGGCTGAACAATGGACAATGGAACAGGCAATGTGATTATTGCTGAATCATTATGGTATTAAAAATATTATGGTCTTTTTCTCCTTCCCTTTCAGAATTACCACTTTGGGGATGTCTGCAGCAAAGTCATAAAAGTTGAGATGCTGTCTTTGATGTTTTGTAGCCTTTCTGCAGATGTCCTGATCACTTTTTCTTTGAGAATAACCAGGCGTGGGCTGTTGGGGGTTCACAGGGATTTAGGAGAACCTCTAGCTAAGATTCTGTGCAGTTCGGAGATGCCCCAAATCACACTCCTAGCTGGCCCTGCCCATCCCGTCCCGCCCCTCTAAGAGTCCCCACGTGGCCCATTTTGGATGCAGGTAAGTGCAGGGTGCTTGCGGAGGCTCGAGGAGGGCAAAAATGGGCCTACTGGGAGTTTAGGAAGGCCGGAAACAGACCAGTTTCCAGCCTCCAAAGGGCCTCCGGAGTCTGGGGAGGCCATTTTTGCCATCCCAGAGGTTTGAGGAATGTTTGAATGTTTGAATGTTTATTTAATTTGTATGCCACCCCACTCCCGAGGGACTCGGGCGGCTAAAAATCAAAAGGGGGGAAGGGGATACAAATAGGACAAAGACAAACAGAGCAAAAACAACAGCAATCACACTTCAAGTGGGGCTGGAAATTCATCAGCCCCAGGCCTGCCGGAACAACCAGGTCTTCGTGGCTTTGCGGAAAGCCTGGAGGGTGGTGAGGGTCCGGATCTCCACAGGGAGATCGTTCCAGAGGAAAGCCTCTGGAGCCTGGGGACTCCCGCCATGGTGCAGGAGGCTGACTAGGTCATGCCCACCAAGGCCACACCCACCCAGCACCAGGCAGAGAACCTCTTGCTAAAAGTTTTGAAGCCCACCCCTGAGAATAACCTGTTATAATCCAAAATGAAAACTTTTAACAATAGGTTTTTTTATCTCAATCTCTTCTCATTTTTTTTCGGAACAATCTTCCACAAACTCCTTTTCCTTTAAAAATATATATATCTATATACCCTCAATATCTTAGTGAGTTAAGCCATCACATTGATGATGCCTGACTTCCTGGCCAAATGTTAGCTTCAGTTGTGTTAGAAAGGAAACAGCAACAAAACAAAGCCTGGTAAAGCCCGTGAAGAACAAATGGAATGAATTAATGCTTGTTGTGCAGATGTTGCGATACTGATTCTATATACTTTGCCACAAACTCACTCATAAAAAAACTACATCTGAGGGAGAGAAGCAAAATTATACTCCTTGAGCACAATTACACGGCAGTACATTTAACTGAAATTAATAATCCAAATGAACAGAAATGAGATAAGGCAGGAAGGCAATTTGGGAAGAAATGAGCCAGTTTTGCATTCCCATGCAACTAAATTAGCAGTTGAAATGGAAAACAGAATGGGGCCAACACATTTTCTTTTCTCTTTTGCTCAACCCTTGTTAATATGTAGAGCTTGTTTGTGCAGACTTTTGAAAAACCAAGCAGGCTTTCAGTAGCTTTGGGGAGATGGAAGTTTTTTGGCTGTTTAACTGCATTTAATAATTCCAAGTCCAAATCAGAGTTTGATTTGCCAAGTGCATTGATATTTTTTAATTTAAAAACGTAAAGGTTCCCCTCACACTTATGTGCTAGTCGTTCCCAACTCTAGGGGGTGATACTCATCTCCATTTCAAAGCTGAAGAGCCAGCGCTGTCCAAAGACTTCTACATGGTCATGTGTCCGGAATGATTACATGCCGACGGTGCACATAACACTGTTACCTTCCCACCAAAGGTGGTTCCTATTTTTCTACTTGCATTTTTACTTGCTTTTGAACTGCTAGGTTGGCAG